AAGAGCCAGAATAGTTCTTAAACCTGGTGATGAGCTGTCTGCTTGGCAGGTAACTCTACTTTGAGGGGATGCTGCTGGTCACCTTGAAGTTTACCTGCCCGTTTATGACAGCTGCGGCAGGGAGGGGACGGCTCCGTGGTCGAGTGCATGCTTAGCGTGCACAGGTCCTGGGTTCCATCTCCAGAACCTCCATTAAGAAAAAAAAAATAGAGCAACCATTTGTAACTGCTGCCCCTCTTCAAGACGTGGCCGATCTGCTGCTTCTCTGGCTGGATAATTGGCTCGTTTTTCTGACGGCGCGCTCAGGGGCTACCACATCCTCCTCCGGGTGTTTCTTCAGAAGGCAGGGGGCTGGACCTGGATGATTGTTTCTTCTGGTGCAGATCAGTTTAGAGGGTGAAGGTCATTCCTCTGGTAGTGCCAGGTTGAGTGAGTAACAGTGAAGCAATTCTAGACATTTCTGTCCCTGTGACTTAGCTTCGGGCTTTAGGACTGGTTTTTGGGAAGTGAGCAGATTTGCTGACTCTGGCCTCGCAGATGACACGTGACTCTTCCTCTTCCTCGAGGTTGGGTGCCTGAGTTCCCTGTCATCTGAACGTCCTTCTCAACTTCTCCTTCCCGGTGGTTCACAGAAGGTCATGAGCGGCTAGCTTTTCCCCTGCTTACAGAGGGGAGGGGAAGTGGATGGGGGAGGACAGAAGCATCTCTTGGCAGCCCGGCCCCCTCACGTGGGCATCATTTTTGTTCCATTCATGACTTTCGGTGCATGTGAATGGGGAAGCCATCGACCTGCAGCCCAGGCCATATGTTGGTGGAGGAAGACTTTCCTGGGCTGTTATAACCAGGTTCCACAAGCTGGGGGCTTCAAACATCAGAAATAGGTCATCTCAGGACCCTGAGCCTGGAGGTCTGAAATCACGGTGCCCCCAGAGGCGCGCCCCCAGCTCCTGGCTGTTGCTGGCGTCCTGCCTTCACCTCATCAGCCTCTGCGTGAGCCTCTGGGGCTCTCCTCCTGTTACTGGGACGCTGGTCACACTGGATTCGGTTCCAGCCTCATGACCTCCTCTGAACTTGATTACACCTGCAAGGACCCTATTTCCAAATAAGGTTCCATGTACAGGCTCCCTGCAGTCGTTTCCGGTTTGTAGCTGATGTGTGTAATGCAAGGAAATGCTACGTTCAGTTAGAGGAGGATGAGAACAGAGATTACACCTTTCCCCACTCAAGGTCA